CAGCACCCACGTCCCAACCCAGGCCAAAAGGGGAACCGGCTGGGGCAGGGGTGCAAAAGGGTTAGAGGTACTTTTTGCATCTGAAGCCACACTTTTAGCTGGCCTTTAGCTCAACTTGAAATAAAATCAGTGAGTGGTCCTCTACATCCCCCCCAAAATCCCAAATCTAAACCCAAAGTATCATGTAGGGCTGTTTCTCCACCCTTTTGCTGATCCAAGTTACCCAGAGCCACAGGATGACCTGGTGCCTGGCCCTGCTTGGGTCCAGGGGGTGACAGGGGGTTGGTGTGGTGCTCCTTGCCGGGTCCTGTCCCTGCAGGGCTCCCTGGTGTTCCTGGTGAGCGGACTGGCCGTGCTGGGCTATGCTGCAGCCCTCAGCGCCCAGCCCACCTACCAAGGGGTTGTCCGGGTGGTGTGCGGGGCGGCGGTGGGGAAGCTCTGTGAGATCTGCTTCCTCCTCAACCTCTTCATGATCTCCGTGGCCCTTCTCAGGGTGGTGGGCGACCAGCTGGAGAAACGTGAGTTGTGTCCCCACTGACACTATTGGGGTTTATTTGGGATGGGTGGCTCTCAAGAGTGGAGTGGAGGTGGTCCCATGTGGGCTGGGGGCAGCCCTGGGATTTTTTTGGGGGGACACGAGGTTCCCTGGCCCTGCTACAGTGTGATGCTCCCAACCCCCTTGGGCCACTTTTTGGGGCACAACTGACTCCTCCCTGCCCCCCTGCAGTGTGCGACTCCCTGTACCCCAATGTGACACTGAGCGGGGCCCCCGCGCCGCCCCCCTGGTACGCAGACCAGCGCTTCACCCTCTCGACTCTCTGTGTCCTCGTCATCTTCCCGCTCTCTGTCCCCAGGGAGATTGGCTTCCAGAAGTACTCCAGGTACCACCTGGGCTACCCCCACGCTGGCCCACCCCTGGGCACCCTGTGCCACCTCCTCCTGGGTCCCTGCAGTGCTGTGGGACCCCCTGCTCCTTTGGGGCTGCCGGGGTCCCCATGCTCGTGCTCTCCTGTGTCCTGGCAGCATCCTGGGCACGCTGGCTGCCTGCTACCTCACCCTGGTCGTTGTCTTGAAGTACCACCTGCAGGCAGAGAGCCTGGGCTCACCTGAGCCACCCCAGCCCTCCAGGTAAGGGAGTCAGCTCCACGTTCCCTGTGAGACCACCCAGCATCAGCAGTGGCACCAGGGCAGGGCTGGAGGCAGTGCAGGGGGTAGCCCTGCATGTGTGGAGGGGAGGTAAGTTGGGGTCAGGGTTGGTTTGGCGGTGGGTGGATAGCAGCCCCCGGCCCCAGCTTTCACCTCAGCAATTGCCCCTTCCCCAAAATCACAGGGCAGGAGGTTTCTGTGGTGGTATCCAGACTTCACAGCTGATGCCACCAAGGTCCCTTCTGTGCTTCCTCCCACCATGCCACAGGGTCTCTACCTGGGCCTCCATCTTCAGCGTCATCCCCACCATCTGCTTTGGCTTCCAGGTAAGTGACCTCGTCCCCACCAACCCAGCTGCCAGGGCGGTGCTGGCAGCCTCCTGCAGCATCCCAGACCACGGGGACGCCATCCCTTTGAGTGGGGGGTTAGCAGGGAAGGGGACCCATGGCTGTCACCAGAGGTGGCTGCGGGGAGGACACAAGGCCCTGGGGACGGAGGAGAGCGGAACAGGGCGCTCACGGGTGGGAGGGAAGGTGCTGGGGGTGGGGATTGTCACCCAGTGCCGTGCCCCTGTGCCTTGCAGTGCCACGAGGCGTGTGTGGCCATCTACAGCAGCATGCGCAACCAGAGCTTCTCCCACTGGGTCACCGTCTCTGTGCTCTCCATGCTCATCTGCCTGCTCATCTACTCCCTCACCGGTAACCCCAGAGCCCTTCACCACCGTCCTTGTCTTGGGGGGGGGTCTCCAGAGCTCATCCATCCTCCTTGGGGCACCTCCATCCTCTCTGGTATGACCACCCATTCCCACCTCCCCACCGGCAGGGCTCTATGGCTACCTGACCTTTGGCAATGCCGTGGCGTCCGATGTCCTGATGTCCTACCCAGGGAATGACCCCATCGTCGTCGTCGCCCGCCTGCTCTTCGGCGTCTCCATCGTCACCAGGGGCGGGGGGGGAGCCGGGTGTCCCCTTCCTGGCTGATGTGGCTCTGCTTAGAGCCATCACCCCCCTCAACCACCCACCACCCCCAGGTCGGTGGTGCGGGACGTGTGGGTGACCTCCAAGCGCGGGGCCGTGGTGGTGCTCGAGGTGCACG